GGGTTCAGCTGTTAAACAATTTGAGATATTACCAACTGATGACTGAGTGGTCTCCACTCGTCCTCCTCTGGGAAACCTCATGTTGTTTCCAGGGTTTCCTAGTAAGATCTTTTTACATAGCTAGGCAGTTAACAACTTCTTTGTTTGTTTAAGTTGATTTCAGTGTTTTATTTAAAAAATCACAACTGTTGGTCTACGAAGCAGTTTGCATCAATTAACTACATAATTTAAAACCTCATACATGTAACTGTACTAGCAGAAAGTCATTTATGTGTGTGTAATCTACAAAGACAAGTTGCATGAAGAGGTAGGAAGAATGAAATTATATTTCTTGCTGAACTCATAACATTGTAACTGGTGAGCAGAAAAAAAGTCCTCAACTCCAGAACTACATGAACTAGATACTTAAGGAATGGCTCTCCATGAAACCCCATATAATTTTTGGTTTATTGAAGTAGTACCAGAAGAATAGATTTGTCAGTTTTGGAGAAAAAAGGGAAGAATTGTAATGAAAGTTTGTTACTCTGTAAGAGGAACTGAGACATCTCACGTTTTCTCTCCCAGTATCTTAGTAAAGTCATAGGCAATTGTTTGTCTTCAAAGCTCAGATCCTGATAACCTTTTAATGTGTTTGCTGCTTGAAATAACAAAGACATAAAGCTCCTACAATTTGCTTTGGGGTTTTGTTTGTATTATACCAGAACCTTACAATCTTACACACCAGAAAAGGTAGTGTATCTGAAAATAAACACTTATTTAAATTTACAGAATTGTGTTCAAAAACACTTTATGTTTTTCTTGAGGATCTAAGTGTCAGAAAGTAAAAGAAAACAAAATCTTCTAATTGTGTGTACTATTGCAATGATTTCTTACATCTGTTATCAGTACTTAAGGTGTCTATATTTTAAACAAAAACATCTCTTAGATTGAAAGGTCTGCTATTAAATACTTATTTAATCTGATATTAAAATATTAAAGTAATTTTGGGGCAAGAAAATTAAATAATTTAAATATTGTTTCCTGACTGCTTTTGTCCATTTTATCTGAATGGTCTTTCTAATATTTATACACTGCTACATAATGTAAAATCCTCACCATCTGTTTAGGTCATGTGCAGAAGATTTTATAGAGTGATCTGAAACTCCTCAACCATCACTGGCATAAGGGGTAGGCATAAAATTAAAAAATCCAAAAAGTGGCACAAATAACTTCAAAGAACCCACAGCCCTTCCTGTTAAGTGTCTTCACTTGTAACAAAAAGACTGGAACATTAAGTCACTAGCAGCCAACGAACCTAGAGATGTATCTTGCTGATCAGTGATGATATGATGGATTGATAAAGATTGACTGAACTCATCCTTACAAAAAATAATTTTTGGAATGAAAATGACGAAGAACTGTTTTTAGAGGAAATTAATTCTTTCTGTTTTCTTTCTTAAAACATAACAGGAGTGAAAGATATAACTAATATCCTATATAAATGATCTTTCTTGTTCATATGGGCATGCCCACCAAAGTAGAACATTTCAAGTGCACAGCACTAACTCACACAAAAGCTCAGGCAACAGGACAGAAAAGTGAAGGAGAAGAACAATAAAAAAGGAGACCATCTGAGGTGCATGCTCAAAGTTTTTTTCACTATATTGTGCTACGATGATTTCCTCAAGATTAAGAGAGAAATTAACCCATTTGATTCAATATGAAGGAACAGTAAGGTTCACCACCTTATGAAAAAAAATGTGGTGCTGTTAATGAATGGGACAGGCAATCAGATGACAAAGGCTAAAGAAAAGGCCAACGTAATCAAAGCCTTCCTTGCCTCAGTCTTTTCTGGTAAGACCAGACTTCAGGAATCTCATATTCCTGAGACCAGAGGGAAAGTCTGGAGCATGAAAGACTTACCCTCTGCAGAAGACAACCAGCTTAAGGAACTTTTAACCAAACCGGACACCCATAAATCCATGTAGCCTGACAGGTTGCACCCACAGTACTGACCAGTGTCACTGCACGGCCACTCTTGAGTATTGTGCAGTGTCCAGTTCTGTACTGTGTCCAGCTCTAGCCTCCCTACTCCAAGAGAGACATGAATTTAAACTAAACTATAATCTAAAAATAAATAATTTGCTATCCTTTGCACAGGGTCAGAGTCCTTTTCTGGAATGCATCATCAAACACATTCAATGAATGCTGAGAACCTGATTATTCGAAAGCAATATCATTACTTACAACATAGTTTTTTTTTAAATACTCTACTGTTCTAGACCTATTGACTCTGAAGCTAGTTTAAAAATAATTGCTTTTAAAAAGAATACTTGGTCAGATATGCTAAGCTGGAGAGTGAGAGGAAGAAACATGGATCTTGGGTAATTGTAGGTACCAGCCATACTTTCAGGAGTGCTGGTTTAACAGCCTTCCTCTAAACACTGCAGAGTTACTTATGCAATTTTATGCATATTTTTATGCACTGCTTGCAAGTGATACAGGAGAACTACAGTGCATTACAATTTCTTCACAGGCAATTATGAAATAACTGCATCAACTAGTAGAACAATGTACATTCTATCCAATTAAATGTTAAGCTGTTGATACTTTGCACAAGATATGAGAAGACCAATTCTAATTTTCAAGCTACTCTATTAAGTAAATGTTAAAATATCTATTTTATTTTCTTGTTAGTTATATTTTGTTTGACTGTGCTCTTTGAAAACGGTTGTGATGCTATGCAAGATGATTTTACATCTAAAAATTTAGAATACACGTATCTCAAATTGCTTATTGAAAATTAACCTGCTGCTTCACTAGTAGTACAGACAAAATAAGATTGTTAAAATGTATGCAGCACAACACACACACACAAAAAAAGTAGGCACAATATGCCTGTATAGATCCAAGAAAAATTTTGACCCAGCACAGGTGACAGTCCACACAAACAAAATTTCCTTTTTCGTGAATCCTAACGGGAGCAAAAATACTGTAATTATTTTTGGTTGCAAAAGCATGACAGTAATTGTCATTGGTTTTTAGTTACCTGATAAGACAACTTCAACTAGGTCTCCTTCTTGGATATCTGCAGCTGATTTCACTAACTGAAGAATGTTTTCAGAGGTAGGGTCATGGCGGAAGAGCAGAATTTTGTCGTACATTCCATAGAAACCACATTCAGGAAACTGCAATACAAACCCATGAGAATTTACTACATTATAAAGTACATAACCATAAAATACAATTACTGCATAATTAATTTTTGAGGGTAGACTAGACTATTCTTTAGACTAGTACCAAACAGGACATGTATTTTTTCATATGACAATATTTATCACTATAGTCTAAAAACGGCTTTTCCCTCAAGCAAGTAAGCTCATTTGCCCTTTCTTCTGTGAGCAAAGTGCTATCCACCAGGTAACGAGAGAGAATCACATGTATCCCGTAGCCACTGCAGATAACTTTGAATAACAAGTTCTTGAGCAAGGTGAGCTCATTAAATTCTCCTGAAGCAGGTGCCTGGTCTAGATAAGCTATGGAGCTCCCTCCTGGTCTGTATTACTCCAGAATTCTATGATCTCTCCCCAGATTACTGTCAAAAAGATGCCTTAAAATCAGAAGTAGTATTTTTCAGCTCTGCGTAACATGCAGTGCATAAAGGACAGTTCTTTAGGAAATACCTATTTCTTGAGACTAAGGTTGCTAGACACATACTAAATTAAGTTATTAAACACATAAAACAATGTTTCCAAACTTGTTATAATAATTTACTTCAATGCAAAGAAGTTGGAGCTATGAAACCAAATTAAAAAATTTGAACTATAAAGAGAATAAAAGAAAAACCTTCAGAGGTTATAAACTTGAGATTACTATATAAGCAACTTTTCCTTTTTTGCTGCAGCACAAAACACACGAGTTAATTTTTTTTTCGTGTTCCTAGCCTAAATAATGAAGATTCTGTTTTGAAAACACAGCCAAGAATCCCTTTTTTCTGATACAAAAGATTCAATTCAATTTTAAGTCATTGAACTACTCTATGTTTTATTTGGCAGTGAAAGCATCACAATGGTAAGTATAGCTGGAGAGATAAACTGGAGGGTCTTGAGGTTACCATCACTTTGAAAAGAATGCAGAATAGAGGGAACTCAGCATAAAGTGCTTTAAAACAACATATTCATTAAGGATTACTGGAAGCTTTGGAACCTATCCAAGTATCCCAAGAAACTGATGGGTTTTTTTAAGCTTTAAAGCATGCACTGAAAACAGAGAGACAAAATGGTCAGACCCCTGGTTTGAATGAAATGCAACTAAATCTCTGAAGTTTTGTCTTATTCCAGATTATACCATAAATACCAACCCAATGCTAGTTCTCCATTGGGTAGACTACCTGCCCCCCCCCAAAAATAAGCTGGTCTATGTAGTTACGCATACAGGTTTTATACTGAACAGAAACAATTTCCAGACTCTGAAACATATAACATTCCCATAGAATATCTGCAAAATTCTGCAACAGTGAATGTTTTTAAAGATTCAGAATTTTTGCTCACATGCACTGTATATCACATTAAAAATCCTAGGCTGCTTACCTATATAAGATACTATGTCAAGGTCATTTCCTTGAGTACTGTTATCTTCTACTAATTACGACCTGAAGGAGCCAGCAATCTAACACCAAACTTTGAGAAGGTTGGCAGTAACATCAACACATGTACTTCTAAACCAGCTTTACAAATGCATATGTAAGAAGAGAGATATATTTGTAACTTTGCTAGTAATCAGCTAACCATTCATATTCACAGTCTCAGTTGAATGGTCACAGTAACAGCAAGGTATACTTTACCATGTTCATACAGCTGAAAATTGCTTATTATGCCAAGTTCAATTCACAATTCCAAAATATTTCTCACTGATGATGGACCAAAACTTTCTCACTATGTGGACCAAAAACTTGCACTCTAAGTTTGGTCTGCTGCCTTTTAAAAACATTTCATGGTTTTATTCTTGTTAAGAGGAACAAAAACAGTATTTTCTACTTTCATATTCATCTGTTAAAAAAAAAAAAAAAGAACACTGAATAACTGTATATGATATACATCACCACATTTAAAACTTACAGAAGTAGCACCAGATAGAATAAAATTAGTAAAGACGAATACTGAATTTTTCTTTAATTAAAATAAAATTTTCATCCAGGCCACACTTCTAACAGCCAAAATGCACATTTTGCCATTAAATAATCAGTAAGTTAATGAAATACTGCCATATCTGGATGACAACACTGTGCAGGCAACTTTTGCTTGCTTCATACTCTCTTTAAAAAGGTGCCTTTTCCTGGAAGTCAGGAACCATTCTTAACTATAAACAGGTATTATTGCTGGTGTCTAAACATCAATACCAGTCAATTTTTATTCAATTACCAAAAGAGATGCAATACTAAGGAATAATAAGTTATTTTTAAAGTTTATCAAGAAGGTAAAACCAGCAGAGTTTTGGAAAGAGAATGTAGACAAAAGCAATACTCATTACACAAGAATATAAATCTGTGCGTCTTTGTATATTTCTGTTACTCTATAGCTATACTTTAATGCTAGAGTAATATCCTCTGTGATAACTAAAGGAGAAGAGGCAGAAGAGACTTAAAGCTTCAGTATAATTGAAATAAATACTTAAATATGGAAACAACAGTAATTTTCCCCCAAGGGAGGAATTACTGAGACACAGTGCGAAAATCCTTAAAAAAGTTCTTTTACATGGAATAATCTGAATCCTTCATGAAGACAACATAACCTAGATGACACTTTCTCCCACAGTCCCAAATGTAAAGATGAAGTATTTCAACAATCACATACTTAGGATGCAGTAAATATGAAGGACTAAACTCAGAAGAATAAAACAAAAAATGCTGAAGGATCTTAATCCTCAAGGTATCATTTCCAAACCTCACTAAAATAATAAATTATTCAACCTAGTACCAAAAGCACTTTTCCAGTTCAATAATGAACTAATTTCACATCTTAGATGTGAAATAGTTCCTCTAGGTTTTAAAGAAATTTGCTTTACATTAAGCATAAATGGGACTGAACCAAAGCTTTCAAAAGGAGACATAATCTGAATTTCAATTGGTCTCTTCATCCATATAAGTGCTAGTGTAGCCTAGGTTAATAAAAAAGCAGATGACACAGGCACCTGTGCTGAACCTAAAAGCCATTTTGATGCCTGTGCCATGGTGCTCCATGACTGGAAAAGCTCTTCCTCTTCCCTCACTCCAGCTCTTGAGCTGGCAGCAGGCAGACTCACTCTTTTCCTTAAGGTTTTAAACTTAGAATATGCATGAAAAAGTAATCCCTGTGGGATTATAATTTTAATTAAATAGATTCCTACCTTGCTACAGTATACAAATCTGAGCGTTTGTCATTAGAAAGAGAATTTTAACAGATGCAGTGAAAAATTAAAAATATATTTTGAAGTGGGAACTGCTGATTTTTCTCAAACACCGGAATAATTTTCTCCACTGGATTTCAGAGACACTACAGATATTTCCCTCTAATTACAATTAAAATTGCTTGCTCTTCCTTTATATTCCCATTCCATTTGCTCTTTTCAGATTAGCTCTTTTTTCTTGCCATACTACATGTATTATGTATGTGTGTATAAAGATTGTATTTTGAGGTATCACTCATTATATCCTATAGAGAACAAATAAATTCAATCATAACGTTTTTTGGTAATTCCCAGATAAACTACTCTCATGCCAAGAGAGGTATTTTGATGGTGCGATTCCCCAAATAAAACATTCTGTAATGACCAACTGTTGAAACAGTGACAAAAATATTCCCTCAGCTAAGTTTACTCCTGCCAACAATAATGATGTTATGCGCAAACAAAAAGCAGCCACATTGCTCGGTACTATAAATAGCATTTATTTTTGCCAAAACAGGGCAAAATAGAAAGACGCATATATGTCGAGCTACCTGAAAGCTAAGCTCACTAAAAATGACCATGTTGGATCTAAATTTCCAACAGTAATAAAAGTCCTTGTTTCAGTAGAATACCTGCTTAAAGTGGAATTACCAGAGGTAAAATGGCAATTGTAATTTCTATAATGAGAAAATACAGTATTTCTGTAAGAATCAGGAGAGTGGAAATGCATGGGATTCAGAAAAAGGACTTATTTCTGGATGGTTAACAAGTCATCAGCAGTTTCTATAACATCACAACTGTCTATATTGTTGCCTACTCTAAGCGTGAAATAAAACGCACCTTCTTCAATTGCTTTCAGTGTGTTTTAATCTAAGGTGCATCAGTTTACAACTGAAACAGGATAAATGACCTTTAGAGCATAACAATGCGTCAAACTGCCACAGCTTGGTTGTGTATTTCAAGTGTGCCTTCTTCCACACCACCTTCTTTTAATAAAACGATCAGTTCTCCAACGTGATTTATATCACTTACAAACAATTCGGGTTCCAGACTTGCAATTTAGCAAAATTTCAGTATTAACATAAATCTGTCTCCAGTCTTGATATTATCTACTACGTATTTTCCAGTGTAAAGACAAGAAATATTGGACCACATGTTTCTAAGAATGTTTAAAACTAAAAATGTTTTTGGTGGAAGAATAAAAGGTTCAACACACCTGAAGTTAAACTGAAAATTTGGATTGCCATAGACACTGAAGTTCTGGAAAAGATGAGAGTAGTTTTTAATAAAACCATTACAAAAAATTCAAAATAAATACAATTAAGGAGGAACGCAATTATTATTGAATAGAACGTCCAGTGCTAATCCTTTCAAAAGCCTTACTTCTATTTTCCAAACTTGTACTTTCAACTTTGGTTATTATCATCAATTTATGACAGATGTCAAAGACCATAAGGAAGATACATCATATTAGATATATCCTTCATAAAAAGGAAGGTTCTTTAGCCTAGACACATGCAGCTCCTGTTTGGAGTCCAGGCTTAAATGACAGTCTTCAAAACATAAAAGATTGCTGTCAATAGGAAAGGAATAATCTGTTTTTCCTCTATAAGGAATTAGACTGGAGACAAGGAAAGTTTTGCAAGGATAAGAATTTTTTTAAAGTCTTATTGTCTGCCTAAGAAAGGGAATCTCTGTTACTAGAGAGTTTTTTAACAGAACAAATCAACACATCAGGAATCTGACAGCTGATCTTTCT